GTGTTCGTTCGTTTAGAAATAAGGTGTGTTCGTGTTCGTTTATGTTCGTTCGTAAACATGCTAAACAAACGTAAACGAACGGGCTAAACGAACATAAACGAACATAAATAAATATTATTTGAATTCAAAGTAAATAAATAAAAGATAATATGTTAAACTTAATATATAAACGAACATAAACGAACGAATATAAACGAACATAAACGAACGGTAAATGAACGAACGAGACTCTTGTTCATGTTCATGTTCATGTTCATGTTCATTCATTTAACTAAACGAACAAAAAAATAGTTCATGTTCGTTCATTTATTAAATAAACGAACTTTCCGCCGAACTGTTCACAAACGGTTCGCTGAACGTTCGGTTCGTTTACAGCCCTATCGGTACTATAAAAACCATATTTTTTATAAATATTTTTAGATGTATATTATACTATATAAATTATATGGTGCCACCGTTTGAAAAATTATCTGGGTTCGTCCCTGGGGCTCTAACAGTTTCATCAAGTTTCCAACAATCCCCTTTGGCTTCTTTTCTTATTAAGTGGCTTAAATAACAACTTACCACCTGAGGTAGAGCAGGATACAACCAAAATGACAATCTTCAAACGAGAAAAACTTCATTTTACGAGAACGCGAGAACACCTTTTTACTATAGACAATCACATGTGATATTAAATCAGAGACGCGGGCGATTTTTGATGCGATCTTGGTTGCGGGCCAAGTCGTCCTTGTACCACTAAGCCCCCTCACAAGTATTGTCACATGTGATAAGGTTGTTGTTGTTGATATTATACTATAATTCATCAAGACCATCACATGTGGTGTTAAATCATAGACGCAAACAACCTTTGTGTGGCCTAAGTCGTAAAACACGTCGTCCGTACATCACAGGGTCCCCTCGGCATAAATATTGTATTACTTGTATAACATGAGTCAATTATACATGTGTTAAAAACTTAAAATGAACGACATTTAAATCGAATCTTTTGGTTTAATAAATTATATCTATACGATATTATAAAACATTTGACAAAAACTTTTAAAAACCATTTTTTATACATGAAGTACTGTTTATTAATTCATATTACTTAAAATTCAAGATTACAAGTAAATTATGCTTAAGTACAACTTATTAAAGCTTCATGTTTGAATTCGTGTAACCAACTACAGATAAACATAATCTTAGAGGATAAACATTTTATTTTAATTATAAAATATCTAAAATATAATTAGGATAATCATTGAGTTCTAACAGAATACTTAATTATTATCTTAAATAAATTATTTTTATTAAATCAAAAATAAATTAGTTCGTTTTTAAAATTCACTAAATCATAATAAAAAATTGAATTAAAGAAATTACACAAAAAAAAAACCTTCAAATAGTTAACTTGATATTAATATCGTTTATTTTTGTCAAAATTTTATAATATCTTTAAATTTATATTTCATTCAAAAATTAAAAAAAAAAACTTTTTCTCAAAACCACATAAAATCGCATTATAACATTGCCAGACCCAAAATATAAAACAAAACATTAAAATCAAGATGTATCTTGCTGCATTGTGCGAGTATCATTCTAGTAATAAAAATATTTAACTGTTTATATATAATTAATTATTTTATTTATTTTTAATTTCAATTTTGAAAAATTAATACCTAGTACACTTGCAGTTTGCTTATTGGTTAAAGATGCTTCACATAGTACACCCTAACACACACTTGCAGTGGCTACAATTGTTGTGTACGTCTAAAATCGAATCCCTGGACATATGTGATATTCCACCGCGTCCTCCAAGACCTTAAGCACTACGTCATAACATTGTCATATTTCGAAAGTCAATTGTGCAGTTTGTCATGATCATATCTGTATTAGATAATGGTTCAGTATCATCATTTGAGATTTGTAGTTGACATTGATCTATCTTGTATGCTTGAAATTAGAGGTTGTGGAACTTGTATATCTGATTTTTGATACGAACATGCTTTGAGCACATCAAGGCATGGTGGCCGTGGCTTCAAAAAAGGTTTGTCTAGCGATTTGTTGATAGGAGCCAAACCATTAGGAATTTGTTGGTAAGACTCAGAGACAATCCTAGACTCGTGAACAAGCCCAGTGTTTGCTTCAAGACGAGCATTCTCGACTTATGGGCTATTGGGTCTAGGCCCGTTTTAGCCAATTCTTGATCTCGTTATCTGTCCTTTTCGATAAGTGAGCTGCAACAACAGATCATTTGAAAAACATGCATCTCACTGTATTACTACTATTTGTTTATAAATGATAAAGGTTCCATATATTTTTTTAGAGAATTCATTACTACATAAACAAGTGCTTTGTTAGATGTAAGACCAAGGTCTATTAAACAGGGAATCGAAAATGTTCTCTAAGATTTCAGGACAGGTGATAAACTCGACTTTAGAAACTGGTACAAGATTCATTTTGCCTTATTCGTCGGTTTATATTCTTTGGTGTTTCTGCCCTCCTGCTTTTTCGGTTCTGCGTCTTGTAGAATGATTGCTCTGGAGGCGTCCTTTGTATTTGGTCTGTGGCTTGTTAATATCGGTAAAAGTATCATGACATAATATGAAGAATTAAACGTTTGTTACATAAAAAAAATCAATTGTTACATTTAGATGCATGCCTCTGGCGTGTAGCTCAGTTGACAAAGAGGTGAGACGACTTTGTCCAAATACAAGACAAGTTTTAGGTTCAATCCTCCCCTCAACTAGCCTCAGCTACTGAACGAGTCAAAAAAATGTCTCATCACATTGTTGTCCTTTATGACGGGCTTCATAGAGCGTTAGGGTCGTCATAAATCAACTTTACCCAAACATCATGTTGCACTTTTGACTTTTATTGCCACAAACATAGAAAACATCCTTTTTTTTTATTAACCTGGATATCCAACCCGCTATGCGAGCCGACTAATCACAGGGGGACCACCTGCGTTGCAGATAGTCTGGAGTCACCGCATTTGAACCTCCGTGGCCACAAGGGGATTTTTATTCCTCCTTGGATTTGAACCTGGGATCTCCTGATACTTTTGACCTTTGGAGTTAAGCTCAAACCAATCAGGCATCACCCTTCTGGTTAAAAAACATCCTTATTAACCAATAAAACAATTTCAATATACATTATTCAAAAATATCTATATTATTATTACAAAAATTTGAGCTAATTTTTGTATATGAAAATGATTAAGGGTTTGGGAAAGTAAATGAAAATAAAAGTGAATGTAGATGAAAATCTGTGTTTTTGTGAGCCGTTGGATGAACGTAGGTGAAAGACTGTGTCCAAAAACTCGAAACTTTTTCACTGTTCTCACTAAGGTGGTGTTTGTTTTTTAAGAGGTGTTGAAGTCTGATTTCACTTCTGATTTATAAGAGGTGGTGCTGAAGTCTGAAATCTGAATCAGTCAGACTGTTTGTTTTTACGTCTGAAGTCTGAAATCTGAATCAATATAAACACGAAAAAAGTCTCATAACGACTAKAACCAATATTCATATTGYATTAATTGTGTCGCCATCATCCTTTGCTCATTGGTTTGATCATACTCAGAAAATATCATATATAGGAGAAATCGATTTGTAGAGATCGTTTTGGATAGATCGGTAGCTTGAGACCGAGCGAGAGATCGATATGGTGTCTAGATTGTATGACGTGGGATAGATCGGTATGATTTGGTAGCTGGAAATCAAGCGAGAGAACGAGAGATCGATATGGTGTGTGAATAAGAGCCCATTAAGAGTTTAGACTACCACTTAAAAATTCAGAGGACAATAAGAGCTTTTCAGCTCTTATTTTCAAAAAAAATCAAACGGTCTGAAAATAAAAACGTTTGACCGATTCAAACTTAAGAGGTATTAAGAGCTTTTTTTTTTAAAACAAACAAGCCCTAAATTTATTTGTTTTCACGTGATTCCGACTATATATAATGATTTTTTTCAACTCTATATCCCATTATTTTCCGCATATTAAAATTGTTTGAACAGATCCATTCATGTAATAACTGTAATTCATATAACATAAAAAATATATATTAAAATAAAATTATTAAGGAAATTAAGGGAAATAGTCATTTCTAGGGACCAAGTGCATTCCTTAGTTATTTCTCTTCGTAGATTTCTAAAATATCACTATCTCCGCAAGTGACACCTTCTCAACTTGTGAAGAAGCTAAAGGACAAAAAAAATTATTTTTCACCCAGGTTCGTAAGTGGCACCCCCTCAACTTGCGAAAGAACTAAAAGACAAAAAAAATCATTTTTCACCCAGATTCGTAAGTGGCACCTCCGCAAGTGGGTAAAAAGTGAAATTTCCACAAGTGGGTGAAAATTGAAAAAAAAAAAATCCCGTCTTTTACCCCGTCCTTACGGAGAAAGTGATATTTTAGCAATATTCGAAGAGAAATAACTAAGAGATAAATTTGATGCATGAAAGTACGTTACCCAAAATAGGAATTAAGTCAAAGTACATTATTTAAATTTGATGCATGAAATGAGTATTCTATTAATTCCAATTAATTATTATATACCTACATGACACAAAATAATTATTGTTACACATTAAATACTATATGATGTAACATTACATATTTAATATTTTCCATTGAATATGGTTTCCGTACTTCACATTTCATTTATATGTTCTGCATTACAGTTTTCTTTAAATATATAAAAAGAAATTCATAATTTTGATTTATGTGGTAAATTTTTTTTACTTCTATTGCTTTCTTTTAAATAAAAACCAATTTTTATTTTTAAGATTTTTTTTAATTTAGCTTAACAATAATTAATTATATAATGAAACAGATTAAATAAAAAACAATATGATATTTTTTTGAGCAAAATGCGTAAAAAAGTTACGTATTTTAACTTGATTCATATTTGGGTAACGTACTTTCAAAACTTTCATTTTGGTACTAAGATGTAAAGTTTTAAACATTCAGGTAACCGGTTGAAGCATTAACCCAACTCCGTATTATTTGCTATTCAACTCAATTTCATCTTATCACTTGCCACATCAACCTGGTAACTGGTTAATGCTTCAACCGGTTACCCGAGTACTTAAATGTTTAAAACTTTATATCTTAGGTGCCAAAATGAAAGTTTGGAAAGTACGTTATCCAAAATATGAATCAAGTTAAAGTACGTTATTTTTCTATTTAATCTGTCTTTTTTTAATTTAACATCAATATCAACAAATATTTTTCTAGTACTTTAATCGAATTTTCAAAATATTGATCATAAGTATATTTACATGTGAAAATATATCATATGTGAATATCATAAAAAATAAGGGTCATAGGATAGAATTAGATAGAACCATATGATGTGCTCTCTATTGTTGTTTATTTTTTGGTTTATCAGTTTTATATGTTATATTACGTTTAAAATGTCATATAGATCAGTTAATATGACTTAATTTTATAGAACAAAACAATTGTGTGTCATATGTAAATCTATATGATAAGTCGATTGAAGACTTTTAGGCATCTTAACCAGTTTTTTTTAAACAATTTTAAGATAAAGTGTTGTATTAGAATTTTTTTGAAAAACGGTAATACAAAAAATTGTCATATAAGGTAATATTTGACAACCTCAAATTAGCATATCTTTTGAGCTTATTCAAAAAGGTTTATCTGGTTGTGTCTAAGATAGTTTATAAACCAACTTGTAGAAATGTTCATTGAAGGAGGTGTTTGGGATTGCTTATAGAAACAACTTATTGACTTATTCTGGTATGTCACTGACAATAAGCACTTTTGAGTGTTTGGATAAACAACTTATACCGGTGCCAAACCGGTAATAAGGAGTTTTTGAAGAAGTTAAACCCCTCTGACTTATAATAAGTTGATAAGTGTTTTTATAGAAAAGCATAAGTTGTTTCACATAAGCAATCCCAAACATCCCCCAAATAACATTTCAATGTAGTAGTGTCTCAACAAGCTACCAAGATTTTGCCATTTTTTTTTCCAATTATAGCCCTAATATTTTACACACAGATAAATCCAATTAGTATTTAATAATTAATTTGTCAATTTAGTTAGTATTTAATTTTAATCATATTAATATTAAATAAATAATTATTAAAAAAAGTGTTATTCAATTTGATAATTATTTTTATTTATTAATATTAATTATTTTTATATGGTTTTTATTATGACCATCGTTATTATAAATCAAACAAAAATTTAATATAATAATTCTGGAAATGCTTTTTAAGTTATATTTTTTCTATTAATAAAATTTCAATAAATTGTTTGATAAAATATAAATTATTAACTAATATATTTATGGTTGACAAACTTTGATTTTATTCGTATTATGTGTCAAAATCATCAACTCAGTGTGACAAATCTTCCAACACTTCATATTTTCCTAAAACGGATTTTGTTGTAGTGAATTTTTTTAAAATTCAAGTTTATAATTTTATTACTGCATTCACAAAATCAAACTATCTGATAAATATGTTCAAATACATGATGAGTTTAACCACAAAGGTGTTGTCCGATTAGTTTGAATTTGGGTTCCAAATGTCAAAAGTGCATGGAGATCTCAGATTTGAATTCAAGGAGGAACAAAAATCACCTTGTGGCTACGAAGGTTCAGATATGGTGACTCCGGACTACCCACGAAACAGGTGGTTGTCCTGAGATTAGTCGACTCGCATAGCAGGTTGGATATACATGTTAATAATAAAAAAAGTACTAAGCCATACTCACACAATATAATAATTCATAAAAAATTCATATTTTCTTTTTAATAAGGAATGAT